GCAAGGAAAACAGTATGAGTGATAATACAGTAGCTGAAACGAAAGAGAAGAAATTCAAGAAAAGCCCAAATTAATTAATCTTAATCTGAATTAATTTCAGTTATGTGTTTCAAAAAAGTGAACAGTGCTTGCGAGAAAATAAATAACAGGTTGATCAGACTCCGAGAAGGTGACAGACAAACTAGCAAGCGGCAGATGCTAAATGGAGATGTTCAGCCCAGGATCGAAGCACCTGGCCAGCTCTGCCCAGTAACATGGGCTACCCATGCCAACTGTCCGAATGGTCTTGGTTTGTCAGTATTTTAAAAAACTTTGAGTTTTTCACTCGTCGAGCATCGCATTGAAAAAAAAATTGTCTTATATTTCCTATTGCCAATGAAAAAATTTCATTTACGCAAGCGCTTTAAAAATTCCAAAATTGAAATTTTCAGGCTTTACTGGTATTGCCGCACGCGAACGATCAAATGGTCAGTCATGCAGTAGCAATATTTAATCAGAAGAACCCTTGGAGAGATCCACTTTCAGCTCAAATCCACAATAATAAAAATTACCATATCCTCTGAACTGTACGCATCGATCACCGTAAATAACACGATCAGCAGGACAAATACAAATTTCGTTAACACAAACAGCACCCCCGCTGCACGATAGTCCTTCTGCATTACTGTTACATCGCTCTCCCGGAGCACTTATCTGCGCTGAAAAGTGATTCATCACGCTTACGCAGTTTATTTTAGCATGAACTAGTTTCCGCTTCTGCCTGAAAAGCGTACCAGGGGAAGAAAATGGACGAGCATTCGGAACGCACTGGCCATTGAATAGAATGGTACCCGGTGCACACTGGCAGGTGCCATGAATGCATACTGAACCACCACCACACACTATACCACCACATGAATTCGCAAATGTACTAAATTCTGCAATAAAACTACGTTTTAAATTTAGAAGGAGTGAAAACATTAAAAAATGAACAATGTTTGAAGCCGCTTTCAAAATTTTAAAATCCCAGATGCCAAGACTTGAAATTTCTAAAATCCTAAATATTAAATTTTTTTAGCACTTAAGTTTATAAACGTTGAAACTCCGATCAGTCGAGCAATTTTCAAAAATGAGGGGATGGATCAACAGTCCGTTTTTCACCATTAAAATGATCCAAAAATGTGAGGAAAGAATAAAAGCATAAAGAAGAAAATGGATAAGTTTCGCCAAAAAAGCACGTCGTTAATCAATTCTTCATTGAAATCAGCAGAGTAGCGTTCCAAACAGGACAGCATTTAAACGCGAAATATATTATAAAAATTTCTGCGAAATAAAACACTTCCTACTGGACAGTGGAAGCCGATCAGGCTAAACTGTTCAATGTCGCTGCGTTTTCTGTCTTTTCTTACGCGATGGAACTTGATTTTCAGAATAACTGAATTTAGCACAGGATCAATTTCACTTGCGGCAGTTTCATAGTACTACCCATCGGACCAAATCCATTTCCAGCCTAGGACAGTAACAAAGCACTGCTGCGCTACGAGCTCCTGTTGAGGGACGGACAAATGATGCAATGCTTAAGACAGCGCTCATTGCACAGCATCCCTGCAATAAGCCAATATAATAAACAACAACCTGTGCCGATCATCGGAACACAGCGATCTCCCATTACAACATATCCTTGAGGGCAAACACATAAGCCATTAATGCAAACAGCACCACCGCGGCACGGCATCTGACCGTTAGACGAAGGAATACACCGCTCACCCGGCGCACTTGATACTTCAAAACCCGAAATAAGCTCTGTGCCTTCAGCGAAAAACAATAATGTTAAAATAATGATCATTGTTTAATCAAGGTGCCAC